ATGGTGTGGCCATTCCCCCTGGGGGGGGTGATTTCTTACTTTCTGTCTCTCTGTCTCTCTCTGTCTTTCTGGCTAGTGCATGCGCCCTATGGCAAAAAACTCTCCTAAATAAATAAATAAATAAGTGACTGAATAAACATTGAGCCATCTGTTGGGTCGTGAATTCATCAAGGATGAGAGCTGAGCTTTGGTTATCTCTGACAGGCCCAGGATCGCCACCTCGTCTCTGAGGTACTGAGAGAGACTGTGTGGCCCAGACTAGAAGTTCCTCAAGCCCTCTCTTTAATATTCTAGGCATAAACATCTTCTCAATGTGGTTTAGCCACTTGGCAAATTCTTTCTTCAGGGGATACACCCTTGGAAGGGTTATTCAGCAGTCCTTTTGCTAAATTTCAGGTTTTGTTTTGTTCCCTGATTAGCAAATTGTTGATTCACCTCCTCCACCATGAGGCCTAATGTACTCAGGGAACAAAAAAATGTATTGCTATCAGCTCAAAAGGCAGAATAGCTATATAAAGAAACCAAATAATGCTTTCTCAAACCAAAATCTGGAATTGGCTTCAGAGTTAGCTCTGTTTGGGATTATCTGTGGCCCTGTTCCCCTTCAGTAGCTGGTAATCAAGAAGAAAATGCATGAGTGCCACTGGAAACCAAGTGATAGACTCACAACACTAAGGCCCAGACACCACTGCATGAAGAAAGGCTGGGGGCAGGAGAAGCCAGAAATCACTTCAAAATTCTTGGGCCACAGGCCACACCGTAATTCAGGTCACTGTACTTTGCCAAAGAAGTTTATCAAAGAAAAAGTCAAACTTACATGTTTTTGACTCTGGTTCTCTCTCAGAATGCTAGTGTTGGGAGTTAAACTGGCTTTCTCTATCCTGGGCAGAGATAGAAGTTTGAGCATTTGATTGTTTGATAGTACAGAATGTGTGGCCTGGTACAGCTTTTTTTTTTTTTTTTCTAATGTCATTACACTTTAGCAAAATAGCCCAAAACACAAAGAAGTTCGAACTGGAGCAAGGGCCTGACCTGCTTATTTATGACAGTGTCATTTAGGGACAACCCAAGTCTGGCAGAAATAACAGAACTTTTCTGCCACAGAACTCAACCCATTAATTTAGATGAAAATATTACTGAGTGCTGATTCTAAATACCCTCTACTCTGATACACTAAGAAACTCCCCAAGCAACGCACAGGGGACAGGCCTAAACCATCAGGGCCAGAAGACTCTTCACAGGCCATTTTGACTTGCAATCACCATTTTGGCAAAAGAATATGCATGGTCTTCCTGGCAGCATGATGAAGTTCAGTTCCTGGGACAGATACAGAAAATGACTAAGTGTGTTTGTGACCATTTCTGAAATTACATCAAGTAACAAAGAAGCCAATGTCCCTTCTCATTATTGACAAAGAGGAGACTGTGTCAAGTTAGCCTACTGAAAAATACCAGGTTTCCTCTAAGTTTTATCTGTTAATAACCACCCTTGGGAATTCAAAAACTATAGCCATTCCTCTGAAGACCTGTGTCATGATATGGAAGACTCATATGAAATGGAGCCAATTCACCAGATGGTCATCCTCTCTGGTCATATCGCTAATCAATCATTTCAGTAGAAAGGCAATATGGCATGAATTGAAGGGGAAAAGGTCATTTCCTTTCAAACATCAAAGTCAAGCCTTGGACTAACTTCTGCCTTATAGTTCTCAAAGGTAATCTTGGGGTCAGCAGGTGGTGTAGTGGTTAAGGAGCTGGGCTCCCACATGGTCAACTGTGGTTCGAATCCTGGACCTGGCATCTTTAAACTCACACTAGGCATGTGTTCATGTGAGCCTAAAATCTCAAGAGGAGAATGGAGGAGAAGGAATTGTGGCATGGCCATTTCCCCTGGTGGGGAGAGGTGGTTTCTCACTTTCTCTCTTTCTCTCTCTGTATCCAGTAAACACACATGTCCTATTTGAAAAAAAAAAAACTCTTTCTGAAAAAAAAAAAAAAAAAGTAATCTCCAGAACATTAGAATCAACATTACCTGGGAATCTGTTGCTCTCTCTTTAAACTTTTTGAATTAGAAATTCTGGGAATGGGGCCTAGCAATCTGTGTTTTAACAAGCATTCTTGATATTCCAATGTACACTAAGGTTTGAGAAACACTACTTACTCTGCATTAAGAAAACCTGGGTCCCACCATGATATATCAAGAAAGATGTGTGTGAGTGTGCACAAAATTACATTCACATATTCAGTCATTTTATTGTCTTTGTCCATTGTTGTCAGAATACCATAAACTTAGTAATTTATAATAAATATGAATTTATTGCCCACAGTTCTAGAGGCTGGGAAGTCTGAGATCTAGGGACTGGCATCTGAAAAAGTGTCTCCTTGCTCTGTCATTAATTGATGAAAAGCATCACATGGCAGAAGGGCAAAGAGGGTGAAAGAGAAAAGGGGGATGAACTCACTTTTCTAGTGATCCCAATACCACAACAGTAAACCCACCCCCACAATTACAGCATTAATCCATTCATGAAGGAAACGCCCTCATGGCCTAATCACCTCTTAAAGGTCCCACCTCTTAACACTGTTGCACTGGGGATCAAGTTTCTAACACATGCTTTTTAGGGAACACACTTAAACTTCAGAAGATAAATATCCATATACATAGAATATACACAAAAATTTACAAACATATGTATATATATGTAAAATTATTACTATATGTTAATAATGAATTTATTTATTTTAAAAATTCAAGTTTTTTTAATGAGATAGAGGTTTATTGAAACCTCAGGCTGATTGATACACTAACTGTCCAAGCCCTTCCTAGACCACTTCCATAAGTTTCCTGTAGTCTGAATACCATTGAGGGTGACCAAGTAAGCCAGCAAATCAGGGAACTTTGTATTGGCCAATATAAAATAGGCTATTAAGAATCTGCTGTACCATTTAAGATTCTCCAAAAATGGAAAACATTTGGCCTTCTCTGGCATTTATTAGGTTGTTGAAAAAATCATGATATATTTTTCTGTTTTTCTATGCAAAAATACATCATTACTTTCTCGACAACCCAATAGACAAATCTGGTTGACAGATTAAATACTACATATCTTCGGGGTCAGCAGGTGGCATAGTGGTTAAGGCACTGGACTCCCATGTGTTTGACCACTGTTTGAGTCCTGGACCCAGCGGCTTGAAACTCATAGCAGACATTGTGTGCATGTATGCCCAAAATCCCAAGAGGAAAATGGGGGAAAAGTATGAACATCTTCCCGTGGAGGGTGATTTCTTATTTTCTGTCTCTCTGGCAAGCACACATAACTTATAGCAATAACAACAACAACAACAAAAACTCTAAAAAACAAACAAAAAAACTAGCTATCTTCTTAAAAGACACTGGTTAGAATGGCAGCAGAAACCATGAGCTTTAGAGTCAGACAGACTGGTCTTTAAGTCCACTTCCATCTCTTGCCAGCTGAGTGACATTGGACAAGTGGTTTAAGCTCTCTGGTCCTTTGTCCCTTTATTGGTAAAATGGGAAGAGTGATAATATTGATCTCCTAGGAGTAATGCAAATATTAGATTAGCTAATACACATACATGGTGTGCTTGGCAAATACTGTTCAAACACTTGGTCTTACTGTTTTTCTTCTTTTACTGGGTTCAGCCATGGTGAATAGTACTGAAATGCCCAGAGATTTCTTCCTGTGAAGTGTACTTCATTGGATCTCTTTAGAATTGTTCTTCAGGGACAGTGAAACAAATGACTGAGAAGCAGAGTCTGAGATTTGTGTGAACTTTTGGGGAAAGGTAAGGGGTGAGAAGAAAGGCACAGGCCATGAGTGAGGGTGGAGGCTGCTTTGCATCATTGGCCTCTGAAGCTCTGCGGTGGCCACAGTTTTCCTTTCTCCTCATTGTTATGGCGGCGTCTGGGCAGAGAGAAGCTTTGGAGCCAGACCTCTGAGGCTGTGTGTGGTGAGCCTGCAGGGGCTGGCAGTCGCTAAGGGCGGAAACCACTGTTTGGGAGCTGCTGGTGGTTTAACTATTTCTGTTGCTCACTGCTGGAGAACAGAAAAGAACAGGAGAGCCTGAGCATTCTACATTGTGATTCTGTTCATGGTAAGAGCCTGCACACCAAGAGTTTCAAAGGTCTCTGGAACTACGAGTTATCAAGCAGCTTCTGGAACACAGGTTTTAGGTAGTGTTACGTCAGGACAACTCAGAGACTCTTGTTTCACTTATCTCCTTCTTATATTTCAAAAGATCTGGTCCACTACAGAAGTTGCTTGTAGCAGCCTCTTGAGAGCTATGAGTTTGTTAGGCTTATAAGGTCCTTGCCGTACATCTCAATGATTTACTCAGGACCCTTCTCATTAGTAACATGAGAGTGGTGATCCTCTGAAGTCCAAAGTAACCATAAGAGTATAAGTGTTTTCTTTTACCTCACCAGGCTAGAGGTTCCTATCACTCTGTTTCATTAATTATACAGGGGTTTTCAAAAAGTCCATGGAAGATGCATGTTATGAAAAACTATACATAGATTTCAAATTTTTGTACCAAAATAAACTTGTACTTAAGTTGCATTTTTCACCAGATTTTCTGAAGTCCCTTGTCATGTAAAATATACACAGACAGAAGAAAATGCACAAAGAGATAGTGTTATCTCTGATATCATTATGGATGACTTTTGCTTTTCCCTGTTCATCTTTTGTGTTTTTTTTTTATATTCTCCTTTTTCTACAATGAGCATATTTTGCTTTTATATTCAGACAAAAAGTTGAAGAACTATTATCATATAGTTCTGCTATACAAGTTCATGTCCACTCGTAATATAATAATAGTTTCTTGAAGACTTCATTACTCATACTCCTTCAATGTTCTTTGGCTTATTTTTGCAAGTCCACTTCCCTATATGTTCTTTGGTGAGTCTGCTTGGCCACACTGCTAGTTTATTGACTATCCATCTCCTGGTCCTGAAGCCTCCCACCCCCTGCTCTTATTAATAAATAACATTTTGGGAAACTGTCAATAGTATCTGACATGCTTGGTATGTCAAAAACAGGGGAATAGTTTATTTTTTCTGAAGCACAATATTTCCTTTTGTATATACTTAGAGGTTAATACATTTTCATCCATTAATAATAATTTTAGTTTCTGCATATATTTTCATGCACAATTTACATTTTGTTTTAACTACATCTGCATGAAGCACTTTTAACAACATGACCCTTCTAATTTTGAAGGTTCATTTACAAAATAAACAGATACAGGGGATTTGCATTTATTCAGGAGGGTTAAGTTCTAAAATGAGCAAATAAGGTAAATACCACTTATGATCAAAATTACTCTACCTCAGTAACATCAGCATAGACTCTTATTCCTCTAGCCTGGAACAGACTTCATCTGAGAACTCGGCTAACATGTTTAGAGACCGTACTGTGCAAAAATCTACACTTTAGGGACCAGCAGTTAGGGTAATGGCTATGTCACTGAACTCCCATGTAGTCAACCACGGTTCGAGTCCCAGACCTGGTCACTTAAACTCATGCCAGGCACATATGCGTGCGTGCCCAAGATCTCAAGAGGAGAATGGAGAAGGGATTGAGATATGGCCATCCCCTCTGGGGGGAGGGGGTGATTTCTCACTTTCTATTTCTCTGTCTCTCTCTCTGTCTTTCTGGCGAGTGCACACGCCCTATAGCAAATACTTCTCAAAAAAAAAAAAAACCCTACACTTTAAACTCTAGAATTATATTTAGCACTGTGAAATCTTACACAGGAGACTCTCAGAGTCAGAACCCAACCAAGGAAATACTAGACTCCTCTTTATTTTGAGACAACAGCAGATGAAATTGCCTAAACTATTTAAATTATTTGGGAGGGTTTATTTTCCTTTGTTGTGGTTGATGGTGCATAACTGCATTTGCCTGAGTAAAGGTGCATTTGGTAAGATCTTCCTCCATCTTTGCAGTACTTTCTGTTGTTCCTTGGGCTTCTCTCATTCCTGATTCCCTGATTCCCACAGAATGATTCTGATCCCTCCCCTGATATTCAGGCATTACTCATTGTTTAAACTCCTCTACACAAAGATAGCTTTGTATAGCTACCTTCTACATGAAGCCTTTATGGACTCAATAGAAAGTAATCTCGCCATACTCTGAAAGTTTCTGAGATGTTTATAAGTCTGTATTACATTTGTATTGATCTATGTCTTAGTTTGTCCAAGAGACTCTAAGGTTCTTGAAGACAGCATCCTGGTGTCTTTAACATCAGTCTTGGCTTTCAATCCTAGATCTATGCTTTCTAGCCCATCTTCCATAGATTACTAAATCCCTTTAGGCCTCCTCCTCATTTGGAAAATGGAAGTCATAGCGTAGATCACTAAAAGTTAAAGTAAACATTAAAGGAGATGCTGCATATTGAGGGGCTAGTACATTACCTGACTAATAGTAAACTCCAGTTAATTGCTAGCTGCTTTTATTTTTACTCTTCTTAGTAATTCATATAGTTCATTTGTGCTCCAGAAGCATTTGTTTAGTGAATGAAAAGATGAATGTACAAATAAATGAATAAATGCTATTACTCGAGTTCAAGTGCATTATTCTGAATTCTCAGTGCTCTGTGGAGAATTTACGCTTGTTATCTGTCTACAAATTCATTATAGAATTTAATGAACCAATAATTTTATGTAATTTTTAAGGCAGGTGTTAGGTACACATAGGTAAAATTTATATCTTGAGAAAGCTGCCACCAGTCCTATAGTTTAGACCTCATCGCACTCTATTTTCACCCATGAAATGTGAATTATAATGCTGCTCTGTGATTTTGCTTGGGTACAAGGAAAACCTGAGGAAAGCTAGGCCTTTAGGGAGAAATTTTAAAAACAGGGAATGTTTGGGATAATTTGAAGAATCAGACAATGAGTTCGTAAATTAGCATATTTCAGTTATAGAGGTTCCCGTCACATGGGACTCTAGATGTCACTCGATGAGGACACAGGGCAAAACCAGCTGCTTTTTGGGTTTGTCAAGCATCTCAAGTTATTTCTCAGGAGTTGGGGTTTGGCAAAGCCTGCAACCCACATTGCCAAGTCCTTCTTTCCCCCTTAATTTTTAAGCCCATGTGTATTTTAAGGGAAATTTAATCCGTATGTTTCTGTTTCCTTTACACTTAACTCATAAAAATGGTTTGTCAGAGCAATTTGATGTCCCAAAAATCTTTGGAGCCTTTTTAATGATATTTTTTAACCTTTCCCCCCTCCCTTAGACACAGGAAATTGCATTTTTTTAAAAAGAAAATGAATCAAACTGAAAGTCTCAAGGTCAGTATTTTTGGGTCAGACATACAAGCTCAAGTACAAATGCATTGGAGAATATGGCCTTTATTGCTTCTGTAGGACTCTGAAGATGTGAGAAAGATAATTCCACAGCCAGGCAAACATCAGTCATTGACAGTGTGTTGAGACAGAGTCCTCAGATAACTGACTGATTGCCAACCAGGCTGAGAATCTCCCTCCTGTCTGTATGTCTATATTAAGAAGTCTCTTTCCATGTTCCTTAGAATTTGGGTCTCTCCAACCTTAGTCAAATCCTGAAGTTCTGCATTAGAAATTCATGCTACAAGATCCAGGCAAGGTGGTACAGGTGATAGAGCACTACTATACAATACTGAGTCACATAGAAGACCTGAGTTCATATGCCAGGTTGACTTGAACATGCCAGGTATGTCTGCATGACCATGATCCTGGCTGGCTGAGAGACAGAGGATCACAGCATGGTGAGACCTTATTATGAGTGCCTCTCACTCTCTCTCACAATAAAAAATTAGTATTTAAAAAAAAAAGCCATACATACAGATAATCCAAAAGATTGTGACCACTAATTCCAAAGCATAGTAATGATCTCTAGTTTTCCACATCATCCCTAGAGAGAGAAAACAGGAGTTGGCATGCTACATTAGTAGCCATAGGCAATGTTCTCACAAAGATTTGTAACGATGCCATTTCTCCAAAGTTAGTGAGTTTGCTGTCTCTGGAAGGATGCATATAATGTCCCAGATAGCCACAGTACAGGCAGAAGACAGTACAGGCAGAAATATCCCATATGTTGGTGCTACCTCTCAGCCATAAGAGGGGATATTTGGAGTTGTTTCTCTTATATCAGATCCACATTAGAAGATGTAAGTCATGCCACCTCTTCTATCATAAGCTGGACTCAAACTCTAGTCTGTCTCTTTTCTTTGGCATACTCACTGCCAAATTGGATTGGGTCTTTTTGGACACTAAGGGTCACAGAGTCTCAGAGTGTATGTCATATAGTCATATAATAGTTTGTGACCATTCAACCATAAAAGCTTGGTTTCATCCCAAATGTTCTAAAACCATTGGGCTGGTTTATTCATCCCATTTTCATTATGTAGCATTAGAACTCTGTAATGTAATGTAATGGCCCGAGCAGAGGCCTTCTTTACTATAGGGACCAATAAAGCCATATGGACATTCATATCCCAAAACAAAGTTGCGAATAAGAGATCCTACCAAAGAGTCCTGTAGTTTTGCCATTCTTAAATGGGAGTAAGCACAAAAAATACTGAACTCATTGAATTATGTGTAAAATACAGAGATTATGGGACCAGCAGTTGGCGTAATGGCTGTCACTGGACTCCCATATAGTCGACCTCGGTTTGAGTCCCAGACCCGGTGGCTTAAAACTTCCGTTGGGTGCGTGTACGTGCGTGCCCAAGATCCTGAGAGGAGAATGGAGGAGAAGGGATTACAACGTGGCCAAACCCCCTGTGGGGGTGATTTCTCTCTTTCTGCCTCTCTGTCTCTCTGGCAAGCACATGCACCCAAATAGCAAAAACCTCTCCAAAAAAAAAAAAAAAAAGATACAGAGATTCTAAGGGTTTCTCTCCATTTCTAAACTAGCTTATGATAGAGATGGAACAGAGAAATTATAGACCTGGACAACTGAATGAAGGATGGGCAAGTCTATAGAGCATGAACACCAAACTAAGCTACTAAAACTGCAAATGATATTCATTTGAGATCTTAGATGAGAATAGAAAACAACTAACATGAAGCAGCCAATTTGAAAATTCAGTGAACCCACAGGGCCTGG